GTGCGCATGCGCAGAGCTGCCAGGAGAAAATTCACAAATCAGGGTCAATTTCAGAGTAGTTCGTTCAGTCGTTAGATTCATTTCAGGAGTGTGAAGATCTGTCCGTGAATCTCAGAGACTCTCTGCCCAGCCTTTCCTTGCATAGCACTGCATTTGGGAAATATTTACCTGGTAGCTTTCCAAGCTAGATAAGGTCTGTGGTCCTAAATACTCCTTTGAAAGGCCGTTTGCCAGGCCTTGGCTGAAGGTGAAGGAATCCACATTTGTTTAATAAAAGGGGTTTTGTCTAACCAGGATTCTGCTTCGTGCTTTTTGGGGAAGCCGAGGTCAGAACACCCATAATAGTATACAGAAGCCCAGGTGAGTCTTCCTGATGTTGGGTCTAAAGGACTAAGCGTGATCACGTCCCTCTTCTGTGTCCTTCTCTTGTCTCCAGGGTTCATCGCAACGACGTGGAGACCATCTTCCCGTTTCTCTTCATCGGGGCCGTCTATAGCTTCCTGCATCCCAGCCCAGTGGTGGCTCGGATCCACTTTCTGATCTTCTTCCTCGGCCGGATGCTTCACACCGTGGCCTACCTCCTCCCGCTGAGACCTCCCACCCGCTCCGTGGCCTACAGCGTGGCTCAGATCCCGTGTTTCTCCATGGCTTTGCAGATCCTCGTTTCAGTGATCCGGCATTAGCGGCCGTCGGTGGCCTTCGTCCCCAGTGGCTCCTGCGTGATATTAAGTAGAGGACGTGAAGGGAGAGCAAGAATCCAAAGGGAAGAAATCAAGGCTTCACCCTATGGCTGAGTTATCCTGAACTCGTTCCAGCTTCTCTCTCTCTCTCTCTCTTTCTCGGGAGAAAAAGGCTATAATGGATGGACTTCTTATCTCCTGCTTGTAAGGCGTGGAGGATAACTTTGCAATCTCCAGGTTTGCTTCGGAGGAATTTACAGTGTGGGCAAGCCAGAAACATCCCAACTTGGGTGGGTGTGAGGGACCCTTTTCCTGCATCAGTTGAAGGATGAAATCCATTCTCCTCTAGAGAGGGCCCCCTCACTGCAGCTGAAGCCTCTGGGGGTCTGCCCTTCCCAGCGATGAGGTGTTCAGAGTCCAGAGTGGGTTGAGTTATGGACACGTCTCTTCACCTTCACATGGTTTGTAATGGAACAAATAAAAATCAAAATTAAAAGGTGTTTGCACTGCTGGCCTTTTGCATCCCCAAGCTCTCTTCAATAAGTTTTGCAGTTGGGGCAGCGAATAGAATAGAATAAATAGAATAGAATAGAAAAATAAATAGAAAATAAAATAGCAAATGGAATAGAATTAGAATACAATACAATACGATATGATACAATTCAATAGCAGAGTTGGAAGGGACCTTGGAGGTCTTCTAGTCCAACCCCCTGCTTAGGCAGGAAACCCTAAACCGTTTCAGACAAATGGTTATTCAACATCTTCTTAAAGACTTCCAGTGTTGGAGCAACTTCTGGAGGCAAGTTATCCCACTGGTTAATTGTTCTCACTCTCGTGAAATTTCTCCTTAGTTCTAAGTTGCTTCTCTCCTTGATTAGTTTCCACCCATTGCTCCTTGTCCTGCCCTTAGATGCTTTGGAGAACAGCTTGACTCCCTCTTTTTTGGGGCAGCCCTGAGATATTGGAACATTCCTATCCTGTCTCCCCTGGTCCTTCTTTTCTATTAAACTAGACCTACCCAGTTCCTGCAACCATCCCCTAAATGTGGTGTAAAACTCCTGTTTTTAGACAACATTTTTTTCTCAACCCTCCCAAACTTTCATCACGCTGTGTCTGGAGCCTCTTTAGATTGGAATTGTTCAGTTTCCAGAATTCCCCAGTTGGGACAGACACTGCTGAGAATCCTGGGAGTCGTAGGAAGATGCATAGATTTCAAAGAAAAAAATGATCAGAGTCTCAATAAATTTTTTTTGGGGGGGGGATGTGTAAGCAGAAAAGCAATTAGATCAGTGTTTCTCAACCTTGGCGACTTGAAGTCCCGTGGACTTCAAGTCGCCAA